GTGTGTACACTCTGGGCCTGGACGCTGGCTCTGTGCTCTTCAGCTAGAGGTGAGCGCTTTACCTCTTGAGCCACAGCGCCACTTCTGGTTTTCTAGTGGTTTATTGGAGATCAGAGTCTCACGCACTTTTCTGCCCAGGCTGGCTTTGAATCGTGATCCTCAGATCTCAGCCTCCTGAGTAGCTAGATTTCATTTACTTATTTTGGTGGTGGTGGTACTGGAGTTTGATCTTAGGACTTCATGTTGTCTGCCACTTCAGATGTGTCCTCACCTCTTAATTTTTTCAGGTGAAGTTTTCTGCTTTTCTGTCTTGGCTGTCATTGGTCCTTGATCTTCCTAACCAAGGAGATCAAGCTGTGATTACAGGCATTCATCATATAGTCTCGCTACTCCACATAACCCCTCAAACCTTCTATGCTCCTCTCTACCTCCCAAGTAGCTAGGATGGTAGGAGTGAGCTACATGCCCTATCTTAAAATTTTGGACTTCTGACAGTGACCTGTTATCAGAATCCTAGCTCCACTGACCGTGCATTCTTATGCATTCCTTTTATTCCATGTTTCTACTACTATTATTGTAGATGGAATTTTAGATGAATGAAAATTGTTAGCTAGCCTATAATTAAAATTCTTATAATGCAAAGAATATATTCACAATAAAAGGTCATTTTGAGGACCTGGAGAAGAAGGCAGTCTAAAAATACATATGGTAATGTGATTTGGGATACATGGGTCCTGTCAGAGGAAAGTAGCTAAGTATGCTTTGATACTGAAATTGAAGAACTGAAGTGGTTCTTGCTTCTATAAGAACTGTATTTTTTGTTTTGGTTTGATCTTAACTATTTTGTAAAACTGATTGTGAAACAAACTTGGAAGAATATATTTTTTAAAGTACTTTATTTGTGTTTCCCTGCAGTTTTAAATTGCCATTTGGTAGTGAAGGTGCTGTCCCCAGAAGATGGAAAAGCAGATATTGTGAGAGCTGCTCAAGACTTCTGCCAGTTTGTAGCCAAGCAGCAAAAGAGAGCCACAGATTTGGATGTAGATATGTTAGACAGTTTACTTAGTAAGTCATACTGTGTTTTCAGTTTTGTCTTGAGTATAGTAGTATGAAAGAAAAATATTTAGTAGGTTCTTTTGATCCTATAAAGCCTGATTTTTATTGTCATTCCCTTATAGTTCTGATATTTAAAGAAAATGCTATAAAAATGTGAAAATGCTTTTCAGATAATGATGTTGTAGTTTGTTTACTTATATGAGGACATAATGGTTAAGCAAAGAATTCTTGAACATTTGTAGTGATGAGTATTCTTGGAAATAGGAATGTTATTATAATAACATATATATTATAATAACATTGTGTATTATACAGAGGGGCTACTATTTCATAAGTCAAGTAATAAGTACTTTTCTCATTTTTGGACAGTGTCACCCCTTCCTTTACTTTCCCCCAGTTTCTTCCTTCCATCCTTGCCCACAAGTTACATAGATAATTTTCTACATAGTGTATACTGAATTGTATGATTGCATTTGTTCTTCCTTTCCTGTCCTCATCCCTCCCTCCCTCCATCCCTCTCCTTTCCTCTTACCCTCTTTCTCTCCTTTTCTGCACCACACCTTTGCTGTCCCAGAAACAATAAAAGCAAAAAACAACATAACACCTTCACCACCACCAATAAAAATTGTATCCATTTCTTGGAATTTGTATAAGTACTACATTTTTTTGATCCATCCTTGTATTATAGTGTATTTGGGCTGTTTCCATAACTTGGCTATGTGCTGCTGCTTTAAAATTTTTTTTCTTTCTTGTTTTCTTTCTTGTACTGAACATTGAACCCAAGACCTTGTACATTTTAGACAAACATCTACTACCACTGAGCCATATCACATCCTCCAAGCTCAGTCTGCTTACTTCATGGTGAAAAAAATCTGGGTTCTGTTGAGATGGTGTGGAAAACAATTTGTTGGTAGGCTGAAGATGTGAGAAGCCTTTGATTATCACACCACATCTGTTATAATAGTGACCCTTTAACTTTGTTTTTAAATAGTTGAAACACCCATGTCCATTTCTCATGGGGAACTCAGTTCATAACATAGATAAAATAGCCACGTGCTTGTCAGATTGGGAATAGTCCTTATTCTCCCTTCAAATTACTTGGTCTTTCTTTAGGGAACACTGAAAATATTTGTACCACTTATCTAGGGGTTGGTTTTTCTGGATATTTAGCTGGAAAATATGAGGCAAGGATAGGGTTTCATTGTGACATCTCCATTCATAACAACGTACACTGATCAACCTCACCTCTTCTGTCACTTCTTTTTTCATTCTGCTCCCCTTCTTAGGATAATTTCAGCAAGTTTCATTGTTGTGTTTTCATACATTCATCCTCACTCATCCTCAGTTAACCCTCACTGTTCTCACTGTGCCCACACCCTAGAGTTTTTGTTTTGTTTTTTTGCTCTTTATATATCTGTATATTAATCCTTTTATCTGTTGAATAGGTGGTGAAGGTTTTCTCTCATTCTGTGGGTTGGTTTTGGTAGATATTTCTTGTACTATGTAGACACTGCCTTATTTGTCAATTCTTGTTATTTATTTAGTGCTGGTCCTAGGACTTGAACTCAGGGCCTAGGTGTTATCCTTGAGCTTCTTTTGCTCAAGGCTATCACTTGAGACACAGCTTTACTTCTGGCATCTCTTTTGTAGCTTACTGAGGAGCTAGAAATCTTCTAGACTTTCCTGGCTTTCAACCATGATCCTCAGATTTTAGCCTCCTGAGTACATAGGTTTGTAGGTGTAAGCATTTGGTGCTCAGCTGAGCCATGGGTGCCCCACTGTAGTTCTGTTGAGAAAATTATTACGTTTGTCTCTAGTTTACAGAGTTTCCTCCATGTTTTCAAATATTAGACTTAGATTTCATGTCTAATTTGAAGTTGTAAAGTGAGAGATAGGAGTCAAAATCATGATAATTTTATGTCTTTCCTTATTTGAACTCCTTTTGTTTCTTTCTCATGCCTTACTGCTCTGGCTGGGAATTCTAGCATTATGTTGCATAAGAATGGGAGAATGAAAAAAAAAAAAAGAATGGGAGAATGGGGGTGGGTATGGTGTTGGGGGGGTGGGGAGATGGGAAGGGATGGGAAGGGGAAACAAAGGAGGAGGCAACAATGCTTGATAAGAAATGTACTCATTATCTTGCCCGTGTAATTGTAACTCCTCTGTATGGTTTTTTCACAATTAAAAAAAAAAAGAATGGGAGAATGGACACCTTATTACCAATTTTAGGGAAAATAATATGATGTTGCCTATAGTTTTGTTTTGTATAGCCCTTTATTAAGTTTACATACATTTTTTTTCTGAGAGTAGTTTTTTTTTTTTTTTAACTGGGACCTGAACTCTGAGCCTTGGCACTATCCCTCAGCTCTTCAGCTCAAGGCTAGCGCTCTACCACCTGAGCTATAGGGCCACTTTTGTTTTTTTTCTGCTTATGTGGTTCTGAGGAAATGAACTCAGGGCCTCATGCATGCAAAGGCAAGCACTACCACTGAGCCACCTTCCCAGTCCCGAGAATAAGTAGTTTTATAGGTTGTTTTCTTCTCTGAAATAATTTGATTCTATGGCTAAAATCAGCAGTTATACCTCAAGAACAGTGCCTTTCCCAGGAGCCAACTTAGCACTTACATTGGGGGTACTTACCAGGGAGTATTTACTGGGTTTAGGGGAGGAATTGGACTTTCTTCTTTCTCAAATAATTAGTTCAATTAAATGGAGTTAGGAGAAGATTTCCACATTTGCACTAAACATAGATATTAAAGTATACGGAAGGAATGGGATGGGAAAGACAGAAGTATTTTGAAGAGAATAGATCTGTAAAACAGGCCAACTTAACAAATTTTTCCTTTCAGCTTTTTTCCCCCAGCTTTTTTTTTAACAGCAAGCAGTATATATTAACTTCATGTGTGTATCTTTATTTCCAAGGTTCAAATGGTTTCCCTGATCCTGATTTAGTATTGAAGTTTGGTCCTGTGGACAGCACATTAGGTTTTCTTCCCTGGCAAATCAGATTGACTGAAATTGTGTAAGTACTCTTGATGTTGATTTGGCAAGTGATTGTGGAGCCCACTGCTGTTCTAAATCTGAAGGGAACTCCCAAAGAATATATAATACTCCTAGTTTTTTTGTATTTAGAATACCAGTGGGAAGCACAGGGATGGGAAGAGAAACAAAAGGAAACTGGAATATGTAGTAAAGAGACAGGGAATTGGCCCCACTAGAGCAGAATGTTAGACAGTAGTGTGAAAGGAAATGAAATAGTCAAAATTTGGAAGGTTTTAAATATTAACATAAAGACTGCGTTTCATAGTAGACGGGGTGTGGGAAAGAGTTTAGCCTGTGAGTAATATAATAATGATATTTGGGAAGATGTGTTTGGAAATGAATTGGAGAAAGGATGAAATAAAAAGACAAATGAAGAGATCATCATTGTAAGTTAAGAAAAAATATAGTGAAAGGAATGAAATTGTTTATTAAAACCACATTTGCCAAACTGTTTTCTTCTGGTACTGGGATTCGAGCATAAGCCTTTGGACTGCTTACCTTACCACTTGAACCATGCCTCTAGTGCAGCCTTTCTCTGAAAGTCCCCTTAGGCTTGTCTGTTAGAAGAGTATTTATTATGATTGCATGCCTATACTTTACTAATTGTAGAAAAAGCTAGAGAATAAATGACTTTTTTAAAGCCTAAGTTATGGGGTGAAGAATATTGTTATTGAAAGGAAATGAAGTGGAGGGAGATTGATGTTTGAAGGGGGGATATGAGTGATTTTGAGCCATTGTCTGTAACAGGAGAGATGAACATATTTATTTGAGATCATTAAAGTATACAGAGGGGTCCTTCAAGAAATGTAGAAACTGAAAGAAGGGAAAACCTATATAAAGAGGCAGAAGAGATGTAATACGTTAGAAAAAGGAAGAGCTGTAAATCATTGTACAGGGGAAGAAATGGGACAAGACCTTGTTGAAGCTTGAAATAAAGTGGAATGATAGTCTCTAAACTCTGGGGGTCCTTAGAGGAGGTGTGTGTCTCTTACCTTTGTTAAGGATTCACTGGTCATTTCAGGTGCCTCCAGGTGGGCTCCAAGAATGGCATCATCTGTCAGCCTGTGAACTTGAGGGAAGTTCACTCAAAGTGGGGAGAGAAGAATGTGTTTTAGAACAGATAAGATTTTAAAATCTGTATTTATAAAATGGACATTTTATTGTGGCATTGAGGATTTAAAGAAGTAACAGAGAAGGGCTGGGAAGGTGGCTCAGTGGTAGAGTGCTTGCCTTGCATGCATGAGGCCCTGGGTTTGATTCCTCAGCACCACATAAGCAAAAAGAAAAAAAGCCAGAAGTGGCACTGTGGTTCAAGTGGTAGAGCGCTAGCCTTGAGCTGAAGAGCTGAGGGACAGCACCCAGGCCCAGAGTTCAGGCCCCAGGAGCGGACCCCCCCTCCCAAACAAAACCAAAAAACAAGTGACAGAACTAGCATTGGGAGAACTAGCTTTCCCACGGACCCATGTTCATCTGTCTGCCATGTTACATTGAGGTCTGCTTGGTGTTTGTCTATACTCTACCAGATAGAGCACCATGGTGCCCCAGTCATTGATGGAGAAATAGAGGGTAGGGCTTTGATCAACAGACTGTAATAGCAAGATGTCAGAGGCGGGAAGGGGTGGGGTGTGTAATGTCACTCAGTGCTTCTGGAAGAATGATGAGAGATGAGGCTTTTAGGAGGACATTTGAAGGAAGCTTAGCAATAACAATGTTATTATATGCCTCATTGAGGATAGTATTTGAGTGGAGTGAATAAAACAAAAGGATTAGCATATAATCAGTCCTACTACTTAGAAGGAAGAGATTAGGAGGCTTGTGGTTAAAGGCCATTGTATGCAAAATATTTTTGAGACACCCCTCCCCCTGTTCTAAAACAATAGCTGTGTGAATTGGCATATGCCTATAATCCTAACTACTTTGGAAACCAGGAGTTTATGGTTCAAGGCCAGCCTGAGCAAAAAGTATGCAAGATCCTATCTCAACCAATAAAAGACTGGGGGCTCAGTGTTGGGTATCTCTCATCTCCCTGTGGGAGGATGAGATCAGGAAGATTGTGATCCAGACCAGCCTGGGAAAAATGTAAGACCCTGTTTCAAAAATATTCTGAACAGACCTGGAGGCTTAAGCTCAAGTATTAGAGCAGCTGCCTAGCAAGAAAGGAGACCCTGAGTTTATTCTGGTGAACTGCCTTCCCACCCCAAGAGATGAGCGATAGCAGAGATAAGACATGTTATTTGATGTTATTACGAGATGAATAGGAATTAGGAAGTAGGTGGCTTGATTCTAAGTTTCTAGCGGTCAGAGGAAGGATAGTGAAAGGCATAACTAACTAGAAGTTATAGTAGGAGTTGTTTCATGGTAGGTTGGCAGGTTTAGTCTTCTTTGTTTTTTGCTTAGGTTCAAGGCTTGTGCTTTCTAGTTGGGTACTTACTACCTTTTGCTGTAGGTTATTTCTCAGATAGGGTTTCACACTTTTGCTCACACTAGCCTTGGACTATATGCTACTTAAGACCTGTGTAGTTGCAGACAGCAATCTCTACACTTGACTGGAATGCTGAATACCACTCTTCTAATCTGATCCCGTGTATACCTTTGTCACTAACTGGAATTTCCAAGCCTCACAATTAAGCTGAATTAAAGATTTTTTTCATGGCAATTATTGACAACATTGGGGGGAGTCCAGGAGCCTTTGGTTGTGTGAGCAGTTGGAAATGGTGGGGTTGAATTTCATTGTTGGTTGCCTACCATATAGCTTCAGTTTGTGGGGATGCTGTACAGCTAGCTTTGCCCTGTGTTCAAGTTGGCCTTAATAAATTGTTAAGATACTCTGACCACAATATTTTGTTGTTGTTTTCTGCCAGAACTGAGGTTTGAACTCCAGCCTTCAAACTGGCTTGGCTTGCTTTTGCTCACATGGGGCTTTACCATTGGAACTATGGCTCCAGTCTGGCTTTTTTTCTGGTGAATTAGGAGTGGACTTTGATGAACTTTTCTGCTCCAGCTGGTTTTGAACCTTGGTCTTTCGGATCTTAGTCTCCTGAGTAGTATTACAGTTGTGAGTCACTAGTGACCATGAAGTTCCTAACGTGGGTTTGTGTGAGATCTTTCATAGATCTCTAGTTTTTATTAATTCAGGCTTTTGCTTTGATAGATAATGACTCAACTCACTACAGATGCTTTTCTCTTATGGAAAGAAAGGAAGATTCATTTTTATTTGAACTGTTTCACAGTGTTTGACAGTCTTTTAGTAGAATTGTTTTGGCATATTCTGCTTAAGATTTGTAACCACTTTTGATCATCATTCTCAGGTCCCCCACCTCCTTCCCCCCGCCCACAGTTCCCAAATTACAGTGTATCATCTAATTACCTTTCCCCTGTGCTTTCTTTCCAGCTCTTTGCCTTCCCACCTAAACATCAGCTATGAGGACTTTTTCTCTGCCCTTCGTCAGTATGCAGCCTGTGAACAGCGTCTGGGAAAGTAATGATCCCTGGTTGTGTAATTTGATTTCAGGCTTTTGGAGAAAAGGACTCAAGTGACTCTGATGTTTACAAAGCACCTATGAAACCCTGTATACACCTAGTTCATATTCCTCATAATTTATCAACAAACACAAAAAAGTGTCTTACTTGAGAGTGAATGAGTGTGTGCGTGTGTGTATGTGTGTGTGCGCGCGTGTGGAAATACACTTATAAATGGGGGTAGTGTTGGAGAAAGAATACACAAACCTGCAACTTGGAACAAAAATAGCAGCAATGTTTTAGGAGCTGAGTTTTCAGATTAAAGGCTTCAGCCCCTGCCACTTCCCTGTTTCTGTGGGGAGAGGAGGGAATGATTGGAGCTGTTTTAGTTGTTGTTTGGTGTTGAAGAAGGAATACCTTTTGTCCAGTCTTTTTGTAGTGACCAAACTTTGATTTCTAAGAATAATATATGAACTTGTTAAATGGAAACATTCTGAGTTTAAGGAGCTTCAGAGAAATGAAGTTATTCAGAGTGTCCTTATTGTCAGGCAGAGGGAATACCTGTCTTCAGCTGTCCGTCCATTTCATTTCTTAGTACTGTTGCTCTGGTGTCTATTCTGAGTGGTAAAGCTCATTTGAAAAAGAACTCATACACTGAAATACAAAGTTAAAATTTTTAATTATTAAATTCTTAAATATTGAATTAGTCATAATCAAATCAATAGGGCAAATGTTATAATCTTAAAAGTCAAGGTAAAAAATTTCCTAAAAAGAGGAAAGTAAGTTTTGATTTTTTTAAATGAATAGTATCCGTGTAGTGCCCAAAGTTATTTTAAAAATATTTCCATGTACTGTTTCTATTTAAAATAAACATTTGACAAAAGTTACCTCCCCCCCTCCCCAACCTGCCCTAAAGTAACTGGTTCCTCTTTGGAATAACACTTGGGATTTTTATTCACTAAATCCCAATGGTAATTTAGTATAAAAGATAAGTACGATTTGAGGCCTGTATAGGATATAAAAGTATTACCAGAGTCTGTGAAGATAATTTAATTTTCCATGTTCTCTTTCATGGCAGAGAACAGCACTGGTTCTGTTATTTTTCAAATGAATAAGTGATTTCTTGATATGTGTTTTAATACTATTCCCTCATTGCTGATCCTGGAACAGAAACTATTTGTATTTAATGGACGTTTTTCCAAAAAAAATTATCAAGAAGTGTACAGTGCTTATGTACATTTAGAATGGATTAGCTTAAATACTAGGTCTCAGAAGTCTGCAAAATAACAATGGAAGGCTGGATATAGAAAGCATGGTCTGGAATTGCTTGCCAGATTCTAAAGTGATGAAGAAAAAATGTTTCAACTTTGAATTACAAAACCCCATTTATGATTTTTAAAACATACTTGAAATAAAAATGATTAAACTAAATTTTGGTCCAGTGACATTACTTCACAATTCAGTTGTTTGTACAACTTTTTGTAGTGTCTTATTGAATTCATTGCCAAAATTTTGTGTGAAATTATAACTTTATTTGAGAATTTCCTGCTTCTTTCCCCTGTAATGTGATCCATATCCTATTGGGTTTCTTTTGCAGGGGGGAATAAGGTTAGTTTATGACACCTTGTGCCTCTGATAGGCTTGATGATGTAAGTGCCATTTAGAAACTTTCTGGAGTCTATAGTTTTAAAGAATTCAAGTGAATGGTTCTAATTGAAGAGATTTAATTTTGTTAAAATGAATCTAGTCAAATTATCCATTGAGATATAACCTAAGTCCTGAAAGATTTCAGTTTTTTTTGCCTTTCTCCCATCTTATGATAGTATGTGCACAGCAAAAATAAATGTATGTGACTAAGGTCTGTTGTCATAGGAAGAGGGCTTTAAAACAAGCGACTAAGATTTTGCAGTCAAGTATAGGAGGAGCTCAACTGCTAGTTCAGTCTCTACAACTCATAGCACTGGTCATTCAAGAACTGCCAAAATCATCACAAATTCTGCATCATAGGGCTCCCTTTGCACTCCCGAGAGGTGGTGATAACTGGAAGGAAAGTAGATGGTCTCATGGATGGAAGATTGTTTTACATTATTCTTGACACTCCCCACAGTGGCTTGATAGGTGGAAGCTTAGAGCACAGCAAGATGCTAGAGGATTTTAATCCCATTCCCAATTCTGGTTGTGTTTTGCTTCTTGAAATTTAGTTGGTTGCTATTACAAAGTTTAAAGGCTGGTTTTAATGTGAATAGCAAATGGTGGTGTATTGTGACTAAGGCTTGAAAATGCCTCTTTCAGAGGAAAATATGACATTAATGAACAGTGCCGTGTGCACTGTGCATACTTACAGTTTAATCTTGGAATGTATGTTTCTTAATTAGCTCCCACCTCTTGTGTGAAGGTCTGATGCGCAGTCAGTTAACTTGTGATGTTTTGTATGGCTGTTGACCGTGGCAATATGTAAATACATGTACAGCAAGTTTTTATGATTAAGGAATCAAATTTATTGAATTTATTATTGAAAGTTGAAACTTAACATGTATGAATAAAAACCAATAAAATATACTCTTTTCATGGATTATAGTATTAATGGAATGTTACATTTATTCTGAATATTTAGGAGCTACAAAGTATAGTGAGAAACTCATGACTAGAATCATACTATTTTGTTTTTAGATGGTGTGTTGATTGAAATGTAGTCTCTCGTTTTTACTAGGTTAAACACTTGACATCTTTCAATGTTACTTAAATTTAGCTTTGTCTAATTCATATTAATTTAAATATGAATTGACTTGCTGAATATGAAAATGACAATTAAAAAATGTAAATGTGTACCCTCTACAAAAGCAATTTAATAGTTCTTGCTAAAGCAGGAAATTGAATGGTAAGAACTGTGGTCTGTCTTATACTTTATAGAGCACTTTCTGACTTTAAGACCTTGTAAGACAGAGTTGATTTTTTCATGCATACTTTTCATCTAAATTCAAGATTGTCAGAGGTCACATTTTAACTCTGGTTGATAACAAATGCCTATACCAAAATGTACTGTAGTAAAAGTTCAAGATGGTTTGAGGTAAAACTCAAGAAAATTAATTTACTGTCAGCAATTGCCAAAGATCTTAACTGATAGAATGTAAAAGGATAAAATTGACAGAAAATGGGGATTCAAAAAGAATTTACTTGGGATTTTAAAAAGTATTAATGATACAAGAAATAGAGGATCCATATACAAAAGCGAAAATACCTCCATTATATTTTTGATGACAGTTCTTCCAGAATTTTTTTGTACTTTTATCTATTTTAAACATGCAAGTTTAACAAAGATTCTTTTAAAAGTATGAACTTGGGCTGGGAAGGTGGCTCAGTGGTAGAGCGCTTGCCTTGCATGCATGAGGCCCTGGGTTCGATTCCTCAGCACCACATAAGCAAAAGAAAAAA